AAGGTTTTCTTTTTTGTATCAGCCCTTTGGTAAAAAGCAGCAACAGAACTTCCTTTCTGAAATGCCCCATTCATTGTGTCGTGGTGGTAATGATCTGGCAAAATAACAAAGAATTTTTGGTGAGAGGTTTGTAGAGGTTTGTTATGCATCTGCTATCCACAACTGTGTCATCTTTGTTACATCTATGCAATGGTATGGAAGTCAATCTTAGTTACTTTGCCTCTTTGAAAACGCATCTGCATCAGCCCACATTGTAGATTCATATGAATAATAGCTGTAGCCTACCTGGGTAATTTAGCTCCATGTCTGTAGCTCATGGCACTTTTTTTCCTTTTCTTTTAGCTGAGTATCACCTGGTGTGCAAAGTGTAGTTTTGATTTGTCGGGTAGAATCACTGAAGGAATCGTTTTACTTATGTCCAGGCAATCACGTCCTTGCTGTCACAAAGAACTACTATTCTCTATATGAAACCTAAAGGTGAAAGGGTGATTGATCATGTTACAGTTATTTGTACAGGCTTCAAAATATGTTGTTCACAGAGTGTGACCTGTGAATCAAAGTCATGCTTCTGAAGGATGAATGAAACTGAGGTTAGGCTGCAGTTCTAATTTCCCTCATGATCTCAACAACAGGAGGTTGAAGAGAGTGCCAACAGTTGTGTGGTTCTAGTAGGCTCAAAACAATCTAGTTTATACAAGTATTGGAGACAAACAAGACTTGGATCCCAGTCTCAATGCATGTGGCTCTTTTCTGAACAGACAATACAATAAAGTCGATAAAGTAATAGCTCTCTTTCCTCTCCATCAACTACTTTTTACATTTCTGATTTTTTTTTTTTTTAAATTAAGCAACAGCGTAAAACCTCATGTAAAGTTATCTGCAGGCTAGGGATGTTTTAAAAGCAATTACTTAAAAGAATTAAATTGGATTTTCTGTAAAACTTCTGCCTGGGTCAGGCTAGCAGCACTGTCAGCAGAGATCCCAGGGTGCTGGGCATTTGGCAGACTGCTGGAGCAGACAAGATGGTTTGGGGGGTGATAGAAAGCAACAGCATCAACATTCTGGGTTTCTGTCAGTAGTTTCTGTAGCAAAAGATGTTACTGAAACATTTTCAACCGAGCGGACCGAGGGGAGTAGCATAGGAAATAGTGACATAGCTCTATAGCCTGTAAGGAAAACTGTCAGCTCTTGCATTAAGTTAGCTTGGAGTACTTTTGTTAGTGGTGATCTGCGGAACTTGCCCAAATGTGCTTGAGCATCTAATATGTCTCAGTGTATTTAGAAATTGCCAACTTCCATGTTAGTGAAGCGGGGATCTATAACAGGAATGTGCTGTAGATACTAGATCCTTTCTGATGGATCTAAGAGAATTGTCTAGGTGGTGCTGTTTTGTCATTCTGTGGCTATTTTCTGTTAAATGTAATAATTTTTAATTTTTTAGCCATCAATTTAGTCACCACTTGATTATAGATCAGTTTTATTTCTGGGTAGGTTGTTTTTATTAATGGCCTTTGTTTAAATTTTAAAATTGTCTGGCATCCATTAACTTGATACGCAAATATGTAAATACCTTTGGAAATGAGTGAACTAAGGAAAATTGCCTTGCAGGTGGAAAAAGATATGCAGCTAGCATTCAGTAGGATGTAGGATTCAGGCCATGGCATTTATGTTAATTTATCGAGTATTTTATTAAATATTGTTGCATTATTTTAGTTTTCTCCTGCTTTTGAGTGCAATAGTACACCATCTATATATATATTTTATGTTGAAGATTAATAGTAAGATAGAAATAACTAGTCTTACACAGCATGACTGTTCTTCAGTTTCCAAAATAGATTAGAATGGTTAGTATTTTTGCAATAGTCTGTTTTCATGTTTTAAATACTCTTTTATTATTTACTAAAAGCTTGCCAGTTTTTCTCCAATTCAGCTGGTTAGTCTTAAAATACTGCTTCTCATTGCAAACCTTGTATCTACTGGAATATGCTTACTTCTTTTTTTCTTTTCCTTTTTTAGGATGTAGATATGATGGATCAAAATGGAATGACACCTTTAATGTGGGCAGCTTACAGAACACATAGGTAATATCTCACTGCAGTTTTGACTTTCTGTTGATGTTAACTAAGCGGCACATAGTAGGGACTGGTTTTGATTTTTCAGAAAGCTTTTGTTGTTGTTGTTTAACTAGTCAATGTTCTTTCCACAATTGCCACTTTATCTTCATTTATGGTTGTTATGAGTTAACCTCAGTAGGAAGCTGAGCACCACACATCCACACACTCGCTCACTCCCACACATCGATGGGGAGGAGAATCAGAAGGGTAAAGGTGAGAAAACTCCTGGGTTGAGATAAAGACAGTTTAATAGATAAAGCAAAACCTGCACACACAAGCAAAGCAAAATAAGGAATTAATTCAGTGCTTCCCATCTGCAGGCAGCAAGGCTTCATCACCTGTAACAGTTACTTGAGAATGCAGACCCCATATCTCCGAATGTCCCCTCTTCTTCCTTCTTTCCCCAGCTTTTATTCCTGAACATGACATCATATGGTCTGGAATTTCCTTTTGGTCAGTTGGGGTCAGCTGTCCCAGCTGTGTCCCCTCCCAACTTCTTGCCCACTCCCAGCCCACTCACTAGCAGGGCAGTGTGAGAAACAGAAAAGGCACGACCCTGTGTAAGCACTGCTCAGCCACAGCTAAAACATCTGTGTTATCAACACCACTTTGGTCAGAAATCCAAAACACAGCACCGTAGGAGTTGCTGTGAAGTAGATTAACTTGATCCCAGCCAAACCCAGTACAATGACCTATTCAAGAGAGAGGATATTATGCAGAAGTATGCACTAATATGAGCTTTTGGTTTTCAAAGTGGAGATAATTGGAAAAAGTTTATGTAAAATAACACTTCTCCCAAGAGCAAATTTGTCTGAATTAGATGTGTGCTTGGAAGGGCTTGTCTCCATTGGTTGTTGAGAGGAACGTAGGCTAGCTTTTACGGATACCTACCATTACCAACATCATCATCCTATTGTATTTTCAGCTTTTGGGATGTGAAGTGGAAATATAACATATTTTGAATTTTGGTTGTTATCTGTCAGCTTTATAATCATGTACATGCTTTTACAGATCTGTTAATACTGTTAGGTTTTGGTAAATCTGGAAACAGAATTGTATAACAAATGTGTTTCATGACATCCCAGAACAAAATGTCATACTGAGCTCCTTTAAAACTCAACAGAATTGTGATTGCTCTTTGGTGGGAAGGGAATTTGAGCCATTCATAATCATCAGCAAAAAATATCACTTTGCTGTTACATAGTATACCTGATCAATGTTCTTCTTAGAAATTGAACTCATTAACGATAAGTTGATACGTGTTTGAGTTCATCTTCTGTAGATCTAACAAGAATTTTCTTTTCTAGTGTGGATCCAACCCGATTACTACTTACATTTAATGTTTCTGTTAATCTTGGAGACAAATACCACAAAAACACAGCATTGCACTGGGCTGTGTTAGCAGGAAATACTACAGTTATTAGTCTTCTGTTAGAAGCTGGAGCTAATGTTGATGCTCAAAATATAAAGGTAAACACTTGGTCTGTTTTTATTGTAAGTGGTTTGAGGTAGAAATAACAGAGCGTACGATAAATCTCAAGAATAGATCATTATTGTGGGTATGGTGGGATCATGAAGGTGGAGCAAAAGCCATGCTACTAATGTTTAATTCAGGTATCAGTTTTTCCTAACAGTGTTACATAACCACTAAATCTGCACCTTCAAAAGTATTTCTGTAAATAATTTGCCAATTATTATAAGCTAATATATGGGAGTGGGGTGTGCAGTTAGACTGAGTGTGTGAAGACCCATGCATTTGGATGCAAAATTGGAAATCTGACTGAATGTCTTCTGAGGAGTTCTGAGGTGACTGTCTGTTTGTTGGAGTGAGATGTGAGACATCTCTGTCCTCTTCCCTAGAGATGGCAAATGCTCTAGTATATCTCCCAGTAAGTTGGAGGTCTCAAAATACCAGTAGGAATAAAATAAGAAAATGGGCTCTTTTTTGGATTGGAACTTCAGGTTGCCTGATTACTCTACCAGAACCTCTTAACAGAGCCCATCCCTACCATATGTTAGACCAGCCAAGCAGCTGTTAGAATTTATGCCATAGACTTGGAATCTATAAGAGCTTTTCAGTGTCTTTAAGCTGAAAGAGGGCAGGTTTAGATTAGATATTAAGCAGAAATTCTTTTCTGTGAGGGTGGTCAGACACTGGAACAGGTTGCCCAGAGAAGCTGTGGATGCCCCCTCCCTGGAAGTGTTTAAGGCCAGGTTGGATGAGGCTTTGAACAACCTGGTCTAGTGGAAGGTGTCCCTGCTGATGGCAGGGGGGTTGGAACTAGATGATCTTTAAGGTCCATACCAACCCAAACCGTTCTATGATTCTCCAGCAGTGGAAGGTGTGCCTATTGAATGTGTTTTTGTCCATTGCCTCCAGACTATTCTGTATATCAAATTAGATGCACTACACCACCCAAGCTGTTTGTTCAGTGATATTGGAGAAGAATTCACTTTTAGAAAAATAATTTTCTACTCAACTTCTCTTAAAATATTTGTATTTTCCACTTAATGAGTATTAAAGGTGCAGTGGTTACACTGGAAAAATATAGCTGTAAATCTACATTTATAAAATACTAAATAATTGTATTTGACATTTCACCATTTTCCCCTACAGATTAAGTTGTCCAGGGTCTATTTTGCTTGGCCACAAGTGATAGAAATGTGCTAAAAAAGTACATATACACATCCATTTTCTTGAACACCGTGGGAAAAGTCTTTTTAAGTGTGCAGTCAAATTTTGCTAGTACCTTTCAAGGTCTTACATCCCCTTTAGAATATCAGAAATACTGATGATAATGAATGAAAACTCGTTAGAAAAATCACATGACTCTTAAGTGTTTAAAACAAACCAATTAGCCTCTTGCATGTACTGATGTGAGTATATAATAAGTATTCCTGGTCTGTAAGGTCAGTGGTGTGGATGAATCATGCTTCTAGTCTCACTTCTTATAAACTGTTGAAAAGCTTTTTTTCTGTGCCACCTAATGGTAAAAAATAAGGTATTTTTGTGGGGGGGGGCGGGGGGAATTCGTTGTGTCATGCTTTGCTTACCTTGGCAGACTGATCAGTGTGATTAGAGTTTTAAAGTCATCACCTTACTTACATTTCTGGATTTTTATGAAATACATAATAAAAATTCATGTTTAGCCAAATGAAAAAGCATCTGCAAGCCTGCAGCAGTTCATGGTCTCTCCTTTATTGACAGACAGCAGCAGTCAGTATAAAAATAGGTTTTTGAACCTACTGGATCATGATATCTTTCCAGTCATGCCAGAAGACCTGTGTCTGGTTTCATTAACCACTGCTTGCCTTCTGCAGTGGAGTCTAGGTTTCTTGCATGCCTTCCCAGGTTTCTAGGATCTTCAGAGGATCAAAATCATCCTAGCAGTGGCAGTTTTGCCATCCTGCCACTGGCTTTGTAACAGATGCCGATTGGGGTGATAGGAAACATAAGGAATTAGTTGATTTGTATAGGTATATAAAAACTCAGTTTTGTGTTTCTTCTTTGACTGTTCAGCAAAAAAGTTTTCTTTTTGTTCAGTGTCTGGCTGATGTTTCCCCAGAAATAAAAGCAACTGTGAGAGACTCCTGTCTGAGCAGTCCTTTCAAAATTTTTACAGTGCTATCTTGTGAAATGCTTTTCTCAAAGTTCCCATGGAATTGGCCAAGAATGGTAGTAAGACAGCTAAGATTAAAGAAATACACTGGCTGAAAGCCATTCATCTTTTTCAAATTACAAAGAGGCTGAAGTACCAGGTGTGAGCTTTGACCTTGTTGTTATCAGCTCTAGACAGTCTGTTAGAAAGGCACGTGCTGCTGGCCGCCTAGGTTTGGAACAAATTGGAACCAGTTGTCTCAGTAAGGTGCTCTTTTTACTTTGCATGACAGTTTGAGAAGTATATGAACAATAGCACCCTCATTCTAGAGTAAAGTTTGATACAAGCAATGGGTTTGTCCTGTTTGTGTTACATATCTTCTTTATATTATACTGTACAATAAAATAATAGTTTTCTTTTGGTAGTGTGATACTTTTTTTTTCCTTTTTGAGAACTGGATTACAGTTGGAGTTGGAAACTGCTTTTCAGTAGTCAAAGTAGAGTGTTTTTTTTGTTTGGTTGATTTTTTTGTTAAGGAAATTATCTTGCCACACCAACAGACAGATTGGGTAGATGAGGACAAGATTTCACAGGGAGACACCTTATCACTGGGGATTGGGGGGAAACCTGTAAATTTTATTTAAATATAAGCAGAAGCTCCTTTTTTTTACTTGAGTGATAGAGTCTTAAAAGAGCTTTTATCATTTAAGGAAGATTTAAAAAACATTGTTAATGAATCATTGAATGGACTTTAGATGTAATTTCTTAATTATGCAGTGTATCTGTAGGCTTGTCTGTGGACATCTACTTGTAAAGTTCCCTGTGGTAATGATTCCTCAGATTATTCTTTCTATCTAAAAACTTTAAATATATACTATTGAAGCCTTATTGCTTGCTGGCAAACTAAGTGTTTTGCTAGATTAAGTTCCCCGATTTATTTTTTTCTTTCTAAGCCAGTCAGCTATCCACCACCCCTGCGAATGCAAGAAAAATACTAAAATGGCCAGATAATGAGAAGCATAGTCAAAGACATCTTTAAAGCTCCCTCAATCTTTTTATCTAGGCAGTTTCTAGGTGTCTCATGGCCCTCTAGTGGAAGGGATGCTCAGCTGGACCCCAAGACAACTTGAGGATTTACTTGGGAGATCAACTCCCAGAGGGGATTGCTTGTCCGCAGGTAATCTTTACAGTCTGGATATATAAGGTGGTACTAAAACAACAACATCTCTGGAGTTTTCCAGATATTAGCAATTCCAGGTGCTATTAAATATGTGATGAAGGCACCATAGTTTTATTTCAGGCATTTTTGTTAAGGTTGGAGTTAACTTATTCTGTTTCTTAAACATCTGGCTAAATATCTTGGAAGCTAAGTTAAGGCAAAAGGTTATTTTTTTTTAACTGATTTCACTAGTTAAACTTCTTGCACAGAAGGAGTGCAAGATCCTGTTAAGCAACAAAATCCTTTACCTCATAATCTCTAGTCTGTGCTGTTTACTCTCCTTTTAGAGATTTTAAGCAAGATTTCAAAGGCAGAAATGACAGTTAAGTACTCAATTCCCATTGTCTTTTCATGGGATATAGGTAGCTAACTGTGCTTTTAAATCTTTGGAATCTCTTCTGTCTGTAGTAATTATTGCCCTTCCTGGGTAATTTCAGTTTCTAGTACCTGTCTCACTTTTTTTTTAGGAGGGGGCCGAGCGATGGAGGATTCAGCCATTTTTCAAGCCTCCATGAATGGTTTGTTTAGGAGGGGAGTTAACTCCAGTAGAAGAGAGGAGGAGTCAAATGCAAAACTGAAGCTGGAGGTACCTGCAGTTGGTTGTCTCTTGCCTCCTCTATAACTTTAGACCTGGTCCATAACTTTCATTTAGCTCTCTTCCTAAATATTTAAAAAGCAATAAAATCAAATGAGTTTGGTAGGCACCTTTGGCCCTTGCATCTCTCTCTGTATCTCTCTCTTGCTTTGTCTGTCAGTCCTCTCTGAAAGTATGGAAAGAGAAACCATGGAACATTGCTATCTTAGCACCCAAAGTACATAAAGTGCAAGCTAAGCGTAAAAGCTCAGAGCTTTGAAATAAGTTGGACATGAGCAATTAGCTTATTCTTTCCAATTTTCTTCCTAGGACTTTAATAATTAAGATGAATATAAGACCATTAAGCTTGTGGAAAAAATTCCTTATAGAAACATTCCATGATACTAGTAACTTCACTCTGCCAAAAAGTCAGAGAATTACCTGAGAAGTCAGGCTTTAGACTGGGAGAGTTTCCATGATCCAGTGGGTCATGAGTTCTTATTCCTTGCTTGATTTCTGCTGCCTGTCAATAGCTGAGGGGGAAGCACAGTCTTTCATTTACAGACTAGTAGACTGTGTGTAGAACAGTGAAATGTGTTGTCCCAAAGGCAACGGTTGTTGCTGTGTCAGGACATACCTATCATCAGGATCACACATGTATAGTTGTGGGAGAGTGGAAAAGACCAAAAGGAATGAATGATGTTTGGTGTCAAGTAAGCTGCAGAGCAAAAAGTATGCCAGAATGTAGCTTAAACTGATTTAAAATGTTTTATTTTTACCTGCCAATCTTCTGTTTCAAAAGTGCTCTGGATGCATTTTATTTTTAAATTGTATGTTTCCCACTTTTATACTCCTGGCAGGGAGAATCTCCACTTGATCTAGCAAAACAGAGGAAAAACGTTTGGATGATCAATCATCTACAGGAAGCAAGACAGGCAAAGGGATATGACAGTCCATCCTTTCTGAGAAAACTAAAAGCTGATAAGGTAAGCAGTAGTATAACACTTATGTAAACCACTATTACTGCTGCTGTTGGTTTGGGGGCGTGTGTGTTTGTTTAAGGTAGGCAGTTCAGTACTGTGATTTCCCCACATTTCAGTTTTAAGAAATGTATTTTTGTTATGACAAAAGTAACTGTTAAAGGAGGAAAAAAAAGCTGTATTCAAGGCAGGAGGAAAGACAGCTCTAAGCCTCCACACAATTACCTTTAATTTTTGTTCTAACTAAATGTTAGGCTTGAACCAAGTGGTCTGGTGTAGTTGGGGATATCCAAGACTTCCACAAAGCTGACTTTCAAGTATCTGAGGAAAGAAGCATTTTAGATATCTTGGACTCTGATCTCTTCTCTAATTATGAAGTATTTTGTGTTGAATGAAAGAAACGATCTTGGCAGCATAATGTAATATATGAATCTCTAAGGTAGAGGCCTTTTACTTCTCAAGTTATTTTTCAATACTACAGATAGGAGGAGGCAAGAAATGATATAAAAAGTAACATGTTGCTGTAGCATGAACTATCTACCTGCCTATAGTTTGATAACTTATATAGAGTTGTTATTTTCTTAGCAGGCAGAGTATTGTGGTGAATATTAAGTATTGGTATCACTGATTGATTGTAACTTCTTGGTTTAAAGATATATTGCATCTTGATGATTAAAGCACTGGCTACAGCCTGTGCTTTACGGCTGTGGTAATTTAATAATGCAGTGATTGTTGACTTTAAGTGATTTGTGCATTGCATTGCATGTACATGTGCATTGTGACTGTGCTTTGAATATCTGGAATTTCCGAGTTCAGGAATTGTACTACATAGTATAGACAAAAAAGGTCCTGTGTTGCTTCATAAAGAAAGAAGTCTTTGGTATGACTTCATCTATTACTTACATAACTGCAGTCTTTAAGGTTCACTGAGATTACCATGTGCTGTATGGTAGTTTATAAGCTTTGACAGATTCTCAAAAAAGAGCTACTGTTGCCTTTATTCTGGATTAACAGCAAAATCTCTAGAAGACAGTTCTTCTAAAATGAACAAATAAATAAAATTACTGACTTGTTATAAAATTTTAAGAATATTTTTTT